TCTTTGCTATTGTGAATATTCTGTGATAACACAGACATACATGTATCTTTGTAATAGATAATTTATATTCCTTTGGGTATATACCCAGTAATGGCATTGCTGGGTCAAATAGTATTTCTGGTTCTAGAACTTTGAAGAATCACCACATCATCTTCCACAATGGACGAACTAACTTATATTCCACATCTATAATGAACAATCTTTGGCAAAAACAAGCAATGCAGAAAAGATTCCCTAATTAATAAATGGTGCTGGGAGAACTGGCTAGCCATATGCAGAAAACAGAAACTAGGACCATTCCTTATGCCTTATACAAAAATCATCTCAAGATAGATTAAATACTTGAATGTCAAGCCCAAAACTATAAAAACCCTAGAAGAAAATCTAGGGAATACCATTTAGGATGTAGGCATGACAAAGATTTTATTATGGAATCACCAAAAACAATTGCAACAAAAGCAAACATTGGCAAATGGGATCTAATTAAAGAGCTTCTGCACAGCAAAAGTAATTATCATCAGAGTGAGAGACAACCTATGGAGTGGGAGGAAAATTTTGCAATCTATCTATCTGACAATAGTCTAATATCCAGAATCTAAAAGGACCTTAAACAAATTTACAAGAAAAAAAAAACAACTCCATTAAAAAGTGGGCAAAGAACATGAACAGACACTTCTCAAAAGAAGACATTCAGGTGGCCAATGTACATATGAAAAAAAGCTCGAGATTACTGATCATTAGAGAAATGTAAATTAAAATCACAATGAGATACCATCTAATTCCTATCCAAATGGCAATTATTAAAAAGTCAAGAAAGAACAGATGCTGTTGAGGTTGCAGAGAAACTGGAATACTTCTACACTGTTGGTAGAAATGTAAACTAGTTTTCTAATATTTAGAATTCTTTATAGTAAATCTTTTCAGTTAAATTATTTCTATATCTGGACTATATCCTGAGATATTTCAATATTGTCCATGTTATAATAAGAATTTGGTGAATAACATTTTAATCAGTAAAATTCGTGTTTTGCATGTGTATAATTCTTATTTATTTATTGTTGTTATGATTGGCATAAGACTCAAACCCAATTAACTTTCTAGTATTATGCTTCAAAGGGAATTATTATCAGTGAAGTAAAAATATTAAAATCATGTGTAGTAAGAGCCCAGAAAAAGTGAAAGATATCATTTTTTATGGGAAAGTTTGTTGGTAGATGGAATTCCTATGAGCAGAGGATCTGAAACAATGGGAAGGTTATTCAGATACAAAGAAATAGGATTAAAAAAAAGGCACAATAGGGGAGATATTTGAGGAAAACAAAGTCAGAATATTTTGATTATATAATTTAGAACTCAAAAGCAGGGAGTGTTAGACCATGTGAACCATAAAATGGTGATATCCATAAAAGCACAGAAATAAAATAATGAGACTCTATTTCTAGATAATAGAGTTTTAAAGATTGTAAAACAAATTGATTATTAAGTACATGATTTTAAATAACAAATAATATGTAGAGAAACATATGAAGTTGTGTGACAAAGAGGTCTGAGATGGTTTTGAGAATCATCAGGAGTGTGATGCTAGTCACAAATAAAACTTTTTGTTTCAAGATGGAGTTCCATAATGTTGTGATAGTGACATTTGCAGAAAGTGTATTCCTCTGCTCCCCTGAATTTAAGCTTGATCATATAAATAGTTTCAGCCAGTGGAGGTGAGCAGATGTGTTGAGAGCTGAGGCTTAAACATGCTTATGTGGCTTATATTGTTCTCTGGTGCTCACAACATTTGCCAAAAGCAAATTTGCCAGATAGCAGCTGGAGCAAGAATGGGAGACATGAAGAGCAGACATAAACCTAACCCAAAGATCAGAGCCAAATGCAGCTGATCTGTTGCCTGACATAGAACTGTACCAGTTGAAATGCAGACTCTTGAGCAAGGAAAATAAATGCTTATTGGAGGCCACTGAGCTCTGTGATAATAATTCATTATAAAACCTTGTTGTAACAGCAGTTGACTAATACATCTAGTTGTTATTATAAAGGTAAGAAGCTTAATTAAAAATTGCATATTAACCAGTCACAAAGATCTTATTTGGGTGCCTGTGAGATTTCTGGGTACTTTCTTCTGCAGTTATCTTTCTAAGAACAACTCTTCAAAAGCTGAATTAAACTGTCTTCAAGTTCCTCATGTCTTTCACATTCCACCAATTCTAAAAAAACAGTTTTATTATGCCAAAAATTAACCTTGATGTGACCCCTGTAATAATATTTCCAAAAAATGATAACTCAATATTGTTCAAAAGATGGGCAGATAGATGCAAAGCATGAGCTAGAATAGAACACCATTTAAGCTTCAGCTTTCACAAGATGCCAGGCAGTACAAGTGGTTCCAAATTTACAACTCATTTATGAAAAATCACCTATCAAAATGTTAGTTGTGGCATCATGCTTTTAAAAGTCATGCTTGCCTACTTCCTCTTTCAGGATTGAAATGGTCTCATCTCTTGCAAAGCTGTAGATTTTGGCAAGAGTGACAATTCTTATCTATTGTTCTTTCCTGAGGTCCCTGCATTCCTTTGTTTTTCACCCCATATATGTACAAACCCTTAACTCTAAATATTTCCTTAGATCTTGAATTCAAGGCTCTGCACAGATGAAATAAATCTGAGAACTCTGTAGAGAAACAGACTGTTTTTAATTCTATTACCAAGCTGTTCCAACCTTAAATATAAAACTTTACAGGCATGAAGGCATTTTGAGTTTTCTCAGATTCCAAAAGTGCTCTCCTACTCAGATTTTTCTGAGATTTTTTTTTTCTTCTCTAGAAAGATCCTATGTCATTTTTTTTTTTTTTGGCACCATGTTAAATGAGTTTGCTGCAGAACACCTGAAGGATAGTTCCAGATTCATGATTCCCACTTCCTAGCATATTTTTTTCTTAATCTTTACATTTCTGTTTGAGAATCACCTTCAACACCATTCCCAATTAAAACTACTATGCTTCAGATGTTGTGGATACAAAGGTCTGGTGGGAACCTCTATAGTTTTTGCAGTGATATACATGAAAAACCTTACCCTTCTTTAGTATTTTCTTTTTCTTTAACTTCACATGATGTGAGTATTTTGAAGCATTTAAAAGGTATAAGAAACATTCTTATTTAGTACATTCTTTATTGTTTAACTAATGCTTCTGGTTTGAATTGTCTCCCTTACACCCTGCAAAAAGGTGAAGCTCTAACCTCCAGTACCTATGAATGTGGCCTCATTTGGAAATAGGGTCTTTGCAAATAATCAAGCTAAGATGAGGCTATTAGCATAGGATCTAATCCAATGTTACTGGTGTCCTAATAAAAAGAAACATTTGGGCCAGCTGCAGTGACTCATGCCTGTAATCCCAGCAGTTTGGGAGGCTGAGGTGGGGGAATCATCTGAGGTCAGGAGTTCAAGACCAGCCTGGCCACCATGGTGAAACCCCATCTCTACCAAAAATACAAACACTTAGCTGGGCATGGTGGCAGGTGCCTATAATCCCAGCCACTTGGGAGCCTGAGGCAGGAAAATCACTAGAACCTGGGAGGCGAAGGTTGCAGTGAGCTGAGATCGCACCATTGCACTCCAGCCTGGGTAACAAGAGCAAAACTCCATCCCATAAAAGTAAATAAATAAACAAAAAGAAACTTTTGGGCACAGAGCCAGACATACATAGAGGGAAGATGATGGATAGACCCAGGAAAAATGTCATCTACTTGTTACAGTAGGTAGCGAGTCAGACTTGAACACGGTAGGCGAGGGCCCATCCCCATTCCCCACAACCAGGAATGTCAGGTGACCATCAGGTAATGGTCAGGCGGTTGTTAACTGTCTCTCTAAAATAATAATTGGTTGTGGCCAGTACAAGAAAAAGGCAGTCTCCCTATGGATAGGAAAAACCAGAAACATGTAAGATCTCAGGAGTTTGGTGAGTGGGCTCATAGATGTTCACTAAGAAACAAAATGGCAGAGTTTAACTGGTAACGACCTCTTAGGCACATAGCTGGTAAGGGGAAAATGCCTCAAGTGAGCATGTGTACAACTCCAGTAAACACACTGCACATGCTTACCTCCCAAGTGCTAGCCGGCCACTGTGCGTGTGGACAGCCCACCCCAAGGGAAGAATCAGTAGAGAGGAAGACCCCAAAACCAGGCCAACATATGAAACCCCAAGTCAAAAGATTAAACTACACTTGCCTTTCAAAAAGCCCATTTGGCCCTCTTCCAAGGGTACTTTACTTTCTTTTCATTCCTGCTCTAATGGTTATTAGCAAACTTTCACTTCTGCTCTAAAACTTGCCTTAGTCTCTTCTGCATTATGCCACTCAGTTGAATTCTTTCATCTGAGGAAGCAAGAATCTGAGGGCTGTGGGGAATACTAATACAAAAAATTAGCTGTGCATGGTGGCAGGTGCCTGTAATCCCAGCTAATTGGGAGACTGAGGCAGGAGAATCAGTAGAACCTGGGAGGCGGAGGTTGCAGTGAGCCAAGATTGCACCATTGCATTCTAGCCTAGGTAACAAGAGCAAAACTCCATCTCATAAAAGTAAATAAATAAATAAAAATAAACTTTTATTTTCATACTAGCCAAGAAATGCCTGAGACTACCAGGGGTAGGAGAGGCTCGTGGAACACATTCTTCCCTACAGCCCTCAGAAGAAACTGATCCTGCTGACAGCTTAATTTTGACTTCTAGCATCTGGAATTGTGAGAGGGTAAATATCTGCTGTTTGAGCCTCTGGGTTTTGTTACTTTGCTACAGTGGTCAGAGAAAGTTAATATACCTGTAATCTGATGCTTTGTGTGTATTATATTCTTTGTGAAAGGAAAATAAATCTTGGGACCCCCAAATCAGGAAGGCAAATGGAAGTCAAGTGGGAAAGAAACCCACCTCCTATTTTATTCCTATATAGGATAGCTACAGAGATTTTTTAAAAAGCTATATGCTTCCCTCATAATCTGCCCATAAAGAAACTCCTTGTGTATTAGTCTGTTTTCATGCTGCTGATAAAGACATATACGAGATTGGGAAGAAAAGGTAGTTTAGGGACTTACAGTTTCACATGGCTGGGGAGGCCTCAGAATCATGGCAGGAGGTGAAAGCACTTCTTATATGGTGGCAGCAGAAGAAAATGAGGAAAATGCAAAAGCAGAAACCCTGGATAAAACCGTAAGATCTCGTGAAACTTATTTACTACAGTGAGAACAGTATGGGGGAAACTGCTCCCATGACTCAAATTATCTCCCACCAGGTCCCTCCCACAACATGCGGGAATCATGAAAGTCCAATGCAAGATAAGATTTCAGTGGGGACACAGAGCTGAACCGTACCATTCCACCCATGACCCCTCCAAATCTCATGTCCTCATATTTCAAACCAATCATGCTTTCACAGCTCTCCCCCAAAGTCTTAACTCATTTCAGCATTAACCCAAAAATCCACAGTCTGAAGTCTCATCTGAGACAAGGAAAGTGCCTTCCACCTATGAGCCTGTAAAATCAAGAGCAATCTAGTTACTTCCTGGATACAATAGGGATACAGGTATTGGGTTAAAAAAAAAAAAAGCCATTCTAAATGGGAGAAATTGACCAAAACAAAGCGGTTACAGGGCCCATGCAAGTTGAAATCCAGCAGGGTAGTCAAATTCTGTAACTCCAACATGATCTCCTTTGACTCCATGTCTCATATTCAGGTCACCCTGATGCAAGAGGTAGGTTCCTATAGTCTGGGGCAGCTCTACCTCTGTGGATTTGCAGGGTATCACCCGCAAATCTACAATTCTGGGGTCTGGAGGACCATGGCTTTCTTCTCACAACTCCACTAGGTGGTGCCCCCAAGAGACTCTGTGTGGGGGCTCTCACCCCACATTTCCCTTCTGCACTGCCCTAGAGGTTATCCATAAGGGCCCTGCTCCTGCAGCAAACTTTTGCCTGGACATCCAGGCGTATCCCTGTGTCTTCTGAAATTTTGGCAAAGGTTCCCACACTCAGTTATTGACTTCTGTGCACCTGCAGGCTCAACACCCTGTGAAAACTGCCAAAGTTTGTGGCTTGCACCCTCTAAAACCATGGGCTGAGCTGTACCTTGGTTCCTTTTAGCAATGGCTAGAATGGCTGGGACACAGGGCACCAAATCCTTGGGCTGCACACAGCATGGGACCATGGGCGCAACCACGAAACCATTTTTTCCTTCTAGACTTCATGGTCTGTGATGAGAAGGTCATGAAGACCTATAACATGCCCTGGAGACATTTTCCCCATTTTCTTGGGGGTTAATATTTAGCTCCTTGTTACTTATGCAAATTTCTGCAGCCAGCTTGAATTTCTCCTCAAGAAATGTTTGTTTGTTTTTTCTACTGCATCATAGTAAATTTTCTGAACTTTTTATGCTTTGTTTACCTTTTAAAATGAAATGCTTGGATAGGTGTGGTGGCTCACACCTGTAATCCCAGCACTTTGGGAAGCAGGTGGATCAAGAGGTCAGGAGTTCAAGACCACCCTGACCAACATGGTGAAAACCTGTCTCTACTAAAAATACAAAAACTAGCTGGGTGTGGTGGTGGGTGCCTGTAATCCTAGCTACCCAGGGGGCTGAGGCAGGAGAATCGTTGAACCCAAGAGGCAGAGGGTATACCTTGCACTCCAACCTGGGTAACAGGCTGAGAGTTTATCTCAAAAAAAGAGGGATTTTAACAGCACCCAAATCATGTTTTGAGTGTTTTGCTGCTTAAAAATTTCTTTTGCCAGATACCCTAAATCATCTCTCTCAAATTCAAAGTTCAACAAATCTCTAGGGCATGGACAAAATGCCACCAGTCTCCTTCTTAGAACATAACAAGAGTTCCCCAAAAATTCCTCATCTCCATCTGAGACCACCTCAGCCTAGACCTTATTGTACATATCACCATGAGCACTTTTGTCAAAGCCATTCGACAAGTCTATAGGTGGCTCCAAACTTTCCCACATTTTTCTGTCTTCTTCTGAGCCCTCCAAACTGTTCCAACCTCTTCCTGTTATCTACCCAGTTCCAAAGTCACTTCCACATTTTCAGCAACACCCCACTCTACTGGCACCAATTTACTGCATTAATCCAGTTTCATGCTGCTGATAAAGATACCTGATTCTGGGAAGAAAAAGAGGTTTAATTGGACTTACAGTTTCACATGGCTTGGGAGGCCTCAAAATCATGGCAGGAGGTAAGAGGCACTTCTTACATGGTGCCAGAGACACTTCTTATATGGAAAGATAAAATGAGGAAGATGCAAAAGCAGAAACCTCTGATAAAACCATCATATCTTGTGGGACTTTTTCGCCACCATGAGTATATTATGGGGGAAACCACACCCATGATTCCAATTATCTCCCACTGGGTTTCTCCCACAACACGTAGGAATATGGGAGTACAATTCAAGATGAGATTTGAATGGAGACACAGAGCCAAACCATATTACCTTGTAGACAAAGGTGAGAGAGGTCTCAAATTCTCTGCTCACATGAGACAAATGCATATCTGATTGCTTCCTCTGCCCTATTGGTTCACTAAGCCAGACTAAGGTACACATGACCATTCCTCTACCCTCCCCTCATATGTAAATTGTATATTCAGTGAAAAGCTAATTAGAAACTCAAAATAATGCAACCATTTGTCTCTTATCTACCTATCTCTTACTTACCTGGAAGCCCCTTCCATACTTCAAGTTGTCCTGCCTTTCTGGATTGAATCAAGGTATATCTTATGTATTCATGTCTCCCTGAAATATATAACACCAAACTGTGACCTGAGCACCTTGGGTACATGTGGTAGGAGCTTCTGAGGCTGTATCACAGGCACATCCTTAACTCTGGCAAAATAAACTTTCTAAATTGATTGAGACTTGTCTCATATATTTTGGGTCCATACTTTCTTAGTCTCCTATGCCTTTCAAGTAGACCATGACAAAAAAAGTGGTAATTTATTTTTAATTCTAGTTCCATTCCTTCTCTACCTGGTGCAGGAAAAACACTATATGCTATTGAGAGATTACATTTCTATTAACTTTACCTTTGCTTGGGTCCTGATGTTTGTTTTACTGATGTATTCTAGCTGATTCTACCTTATAGGTCTCTCAGAGTGAGAGATACAGTTTTTGAATGCTGAGTATGAAAATAAATTACATTTTTTCAAAACATATCTTGTCTACCACTGAGGCAAAGTGGGTGATTCTGTTGAGAAGGTAATCAACTACCTGTCCAGAATTCCAAAACACTGTATATAATTTATTGTTTCATTTTTTAACTTTAGCATCTCATCTTCCAAGTCCCTACTTGTAGTCTGATGTCGTCTTCTGGCATAAGAATCATCGGTTTTCCACTTAATGTTATTTTTTAATCAAGAAAATCAACAAATACTTGAATTTCATACTGATATTCCCAAAACTTTACTTCAAAGATATTTCTAAATCTTACTTAATGATCTAACACCGCTTTTTGAACAGAGAACATTGCTAGAGTATATAATTCTGTATACTTTTCTGTCTCGCAGGCTTCCTATGCAGGCTTCCAAATTTTATTTTTATTTTATTTTACTAACATCTTGACTTTCTCTTGCTATAAGAAATCTTTTTGAATCCTAATCAAAAAAGGAAGGAGCTTCAACTTTGCTAGTTTGACTTTAAAAATAGTTATATATGGGCATGTTATCTTTCTTCCTTCCTATTTCGTAGATTTCTATTTAAGACTTTCACTTTTTCTAAGCAAATCTCTTTTCTTCTCTGGCTAAATCAACATGCCTTTTTTTTTTTTTTTTTTTTTTTTTTTTTTTTTTTGGTTTTCTTTCATTCTTAACACAGTTCTAGTTCTGACTGAAAAAAAGAAAAACTGCTTTTTAAATTCATTCATTCTTCTCTGTCTGTGCAATCTTAAGTTCAACTACAAATGTTATTTTTAGAAACCCTATTTTTAATTTATCACTTCGCCCTTGGGTTTATAATAATCACAATGACTTTTTTCTCTCTGTCTAAGCCTAGTTGAATGATAAAATCAATCTCATGCTAAAAAATCTCTAGTCAATATTATCTGTTCACTGAAAAAATCAGCCCTACTGTGATGCTGATTTACCTACAAACTGTCTGTTTCTGAAATCCACAATTATAATCTAGGTGAATGTCAGAGTCAGTTTGAAAACATGGGCTGGAAGAATGACTACAGGAGATTCTGGCATTACCATGACATTGGAAGCAGTCACTTTTCAACAATTTCTTCCCTGGCCTTGAATGCTGTTCAAACAAGATACAGAGGAAAACAACGTGGAGTAGGCCAAGCTCCATGATGCTACTGATCAATGCCTTAAACTTTATATATCCCCACAGTCATGTACTTATACCCTGCTTAAAAAAGAAATGGTTTTTATTTGTTTTTGTTTCTGTTTTTTCTTGAGCCAGAGCTTTGCTTTGTTGCCCAGGCTGGAATGCAGCTGTTCAATCTCAGCTCACTGCAACCTCTGCCTCCTGGGTTCAAGTGATTCTTGTGCCTCAGCCTCCAGAGCACCTGGAATTACAGATATGTGCCACCACACCTGACTAATTTTTGTATTTGTAGTTCACAGATGGTTCTGCACAATATTCAGGCACCACCAGAAAGTGGGCAGCTACAGAACTACAACCCTTTTTAGGGAATCCCCAAAGGACAGGAGTGAAGGGAAACCTTTCCAGTGGGCAGAACTTTGAGCAGTTCACCTGGCTGTGAACTTTGCATGGAAGGAAAAATGTCCAGATGTGCTATTATATACTTATTCATGTGCTGGAGCCAATGGCTTGGCTGGATTGTCAGGGACTTGGAAGAAGCATGCTTGGAAAATTGGTGACAAAGAAGTTTGGGGAAGAGCTATGTAGATGGACCTGAGTGGTCAAATACTGTGAAGACATGTAAGTTCTCTCATTAACAGGGGACCTCAACAGAGGAGGGGTTTAATAATCAGGTAGATTTGGCGACCCCTCTGTGGACACCACTCAGCCTGTTTCCCCAGCTACCCCTTTCATTGCCCATTGGGCCCATGAACAAAGTGGTCATGGTAGTAAGAATAGAGGTTATGCTTGGGCACAACCAAGGCTGACCTGGTAAGTGCCCAATTTGCCAGCACCAGAGACCAACACTAAGCCCTTGATATGGCACCATTCCTTG